ATGATTCCTCTGTAGAACTGTATCAGCAGCTCCTGGGGCAGGTTGAACTTCCTGAGCTGGTGCAGGAAGTACATCCTCTGCTGTGCCTTCTTGGTGATGGTCCTGATGTTGGACGTCCACTTCATGTCCTGGGAGATAGTGGAGCCCAGGAACTTGTAGGACTTTACTGCTGATGCAGTGCTGCCAAGTATGATGGGGAAGGGGCCTCTTCCTGAAATCCATTGTTGTGAGCATGTTCAGCTTCAGGTTGTTGTGGCTACACCACAGGACTGATGAATAGGAGCTTGACAGAGTGGTCCTTCAATATGCAGTCATTGGTGTAGAGTGAAAACAGCAGAGGGGAGAGCACACATCCCTGGGGGGTGCCTGTGCTTATTGTCTGGGTGCTGGATGCAGTTTTTGCCAGCCTCGCCTGCTGCTTCCTGTCTGTCAGAAAGCTAGTAATCCACTGACAGGTGGGGGCAGGTACAGTGAGCTGGGTCAGATGATGGTGTTGAATGCTGAGCCGAAGTCCACAAAGAGGGCCCATGCATAGGTCCCTGGGGAGTCGAGGTGTTGCAGGATGTAATGCAGTGCCATGTTCACTGCATCGTCCACTGACCTGTTTGCCCAGTAGGCAAACTGCAGGGGTTCTAGCAGGGGGTCGACGATGTCCTTCAGGTGAGCCAACACCAATCTTTCAAAGGACTTCATAACTACAGATGTCAGGGCGACAGGTCTGTAGTTGTTCAGTCCACTGATGGGGATTTTCTTGGTGACTGGAATGATGGTGGAGCATTTGAAGCAGGAGGGGACTTCACACAGCTCCAGTGACCCGTTGAAGATAGGGGCCAACTGATCAGTGCAACTTTCAAACAGGAGGGGGTCACACTATCTGGGCCTGGTGCCTTTCGCTGGGGACAGAGCGATAGCCATTTTTTGTTGTTGTGTAGCAGTGGTCCAGTGTGTTTTTGTCCCTGGTGGCATGTCAGTGTTTGGGCAGTTAGTGGGGGAGGTTTTTCTGTTAAAATCCCTTAGTACAGTGAGGGGTGTTGGGATGTTTTGGTTCCATGAATAAAATGGTTTGTAGTTGATGAAAAGAGTCTCCAAGTCTGTGAATGTGTTTGGAGTGAACTGTCTGATGTTTAGTCTGTGGTGAAGACCTACAGTCTTATGCAAAAGTTTAGGCACCCCTTGATAAATAACAGATTTTGGTGATTTTTTATTTGAACAGATGTTAACACAGTTTCTCTTGGAAATGGAAAAAATGCACAATATTTTCTGCAAACAGTGATGCATAGTTACTTCTTATGCCATAAATTGAACAAAAATAAAAAATAAAAACATTATTATGGCATGGTGCAAAAGTTTGGGCACCCTACACAATCAGTACTTAGTAACACCTCCTCTGGCAGATATCACAGCTTGCAAACGCTTTTCATAGCCAGCTAAAAGTCTTTCAATTCTTGTACTTGGGATCTTCTCCCATTCTTCCTTGCAAAAGGCTTCTAGTTCTGTAATATTCTTTGGTCGTCTTGCATGCACAGCTCTTTTAAGATCTACCCACAAATTTTCAATGATGTTTAAATCAGGGGACTGTGATGGCCATTCCAAAACCTTCAGCCTGCGTCTCTTGAGGTATTCCATAGTGGATTTCGAGGTATGTTTAGGATCATTGTCCTGTTGTAGAAGCCATCCTCTTTTCAGCTTCAGCTTTTTTACAGATGGTGTGATGTTTGCTTCCAGAATTTGCTGGTATTTAGTGGAATCCATTCTTCCCTCCACCCGTGCAATGTTTCCTGTGCCACTGGCTGCAACACAACCCCAGAGCATGATAGATCCACCCCCATGCTTAATAGTTGGCCAGGTGTTCTTTTCATGAAATGCTGCTCCTTTTTTTCTCCAAACATGCCTTTGCTGATTGTGTCCAAAGAGTTCTATTTTAACTTCATCAGTCCACAGCACTTGTTTCCAAAACGCATCGGGCTTCTGTAGATGTCCTGTTGCATACTTCAGATGTTGGATTTTATGATGGGGACGCAGATAAGGTTTTCTTCTGCTGACTCTTCCATGAAGGCCTTGTCTGTGCAAGCATCGCTGCACAGTGGAACGGTGCACCACCACTCCTGAGTCTGCTAAATCTTCCTGCAGGTTTTTTGCAGTCAAATGGGGGTTTTGATTTGTCTTTCTGACCAGCATACGAGCAGTTCTGTCCGAGAGTTTTCTTGGTCTTCCAGATCTCATCTTGACCTCCACAGTTCCCCTGATCTGCCATCTCTTAATTACATTTCTTACTGTGGAAACTGCAAGCTGACAACGCTTTGCTATCTTCTTGTAGCCTTCTCCTGCATTGTGGGCATCAATAACTTTCATTTTCAGGGTCTTACACAGCTGCTTAGAGGAACCCATGGTTGCTGGGTGTCCACAAGTGTGTGCACAAGGTTTGAAGAGTCAAGGTATTTGTACAGCTTTGAAATTGGCATTTACCAATGACAGCTGTTGCTGTGCATCAGATCTAACGAGCTGATTAAGGTCTGAAACCTTGTGAGAGACTTTGAGACTCTGGAACTCTTAGGGTGCCCAAACTTTTGCACCATGCCATAATAATGTTTTTATTTTTTATTTTTGTTCAATTTATGGCATAAGAAGTAACTATGCATCACTGTTTGCAGAAAATATTGTGCATTTTTTCCATTTCCAAGAGAAACTGTGTTAACATCTGTTCAAATAAAAAAATCACCAAAATCTGTTATTTATCAAGGGGTGCCTAAACTTTTGCATAAGACTGTATACAACTGATAACTGTTCAAGCTGTGGACAACTGTACTGAATGATTTGCTGAAATGTGTTAAACAGTTGCTACTCGTTGGAAAAGACTGAGAAATGTGCAGCCCTCAGACTCTTATCACCGAATCTCATCCAAACCTATAGGCAGAAACTTTAAAGCTACGAAGCCTGTGGTTGGAACAGTGAAGAAATGGACCAAGTAGGCAAAGTCAGAGCTACAGGCCTGCTTTGATTGCACAGACTGGAGTGTATCTGAGGCTGCGTCTACAGACCTGGATGAACTCACTGACACTGACATCTTACGTCACCTTTGTGAGGACATGTGTGCCCACCAAGACCTTCTGCACGTACAACAACTGGGCTCCACTGTCTCACCAGGACCTGAAGTGGACATCCAGCATCAGCACCAACAAGGCACAGCAGAGGATGTACTTCTGCTCCAGCTCAGGAAGTTCAACCTGCCCCAGGAGCTACTGATAGAGACCCCTCACAGAAACGGTGTCAGCTCCTCCCCTCTGGATGGCGCTACAGGTCACTGTGCACCAAGACAACCAGGCCCAAGGACAGTTTCTTCCCGTGGGCCGTCGCCCTGATCAGCACTTAACCTGTGACTGTATTATGGAACAAGAAGCCTCAGTGAAATAATTGTGAATATATTTTTGCATATATTTATCTGGAAAACCTCATCTAGACTGTTTATAGTATATATTTCTATACAAGTATTGTGGGAGATTGTGATGATCACTGGAACTAAAAATGAAACCCCCTGGTGTTTTTTATTAGAAAAGAATCCACACACTCTAGGTAAACACACAACACCTGAGGCTGTTTTGTGGTGTGTGCTTGCATGTGTGTTGTAGCTCAGGTGTTGTTTGGGAGATGAAACCAAAGAATCGTTGGAAGCCGTTCAGTCAGAAAAATATCAACCTGCTAGAGAAAACCTACCAGAGTCAGCTCAGCGGGCAGATGCAAGGAGGTTGGGTCAAACTGGAGAGCGGCCTAGAGGTCAGAGGTCAACATGCACATTAACAGACTGAATACAAACTGACTACATCCAGAGACACATACCACACGCAGACTTAAACAGCCATCCTGATGTCAGTCATTTGATCAGTGTGTCGGCTGAAATGTGTGATGTCACTGGTTATCAGGTGAATCTTAGCAGCGTCATCATGAAAATGCGTCAGCCATTTTCCTGCCAAGTGAGGAGGAACTTCCTATCGGGGATCCAGGTGGAGTTCAAACAGTCACGGCACCAGCGCAGCCTGAGGGCCCAGCTCCATTGGCTGCAGGTAAACATATACCCCTAAATACACACTTGTCCAGAAACACACCTGTATGACTGAAATGGTTTCTGCGTGCAGGTGGACAACCAGCTGCCAGGTGCGATCTTCCCCATCGTCTTTCATCCAGTTCCACCTCCAAAATCCATCGCTTTGGACTCAGGTGGATCATCTTATTTACCTGCTTCTTCATTTGTAATCTGTCCACTTAGCCTGTGCACAGGAGTGTGTGTAGATATATCTATCTATATATGTATGTGCGTATGTGTGTGTGTGTGTGTGTGTATATATATATGTGTATATATATATATATATATATATATATATATATATATATATATATATATATATATATATATATATATATATATATATATATATATATATATATATATATATATATATATATATATATATATATATATATATATATATATATATATATATATATATATATATATATATATATATATATATATATATATATATATATATATATATATATATATATATATATATATATATATATACACATATATATATACACACACACACACACACACACTTGTTATATTGCCTATGCAACATTTCCAACCAACTTGGAGACAAAAAATGCAGAAAATGTTATTTTAAATCAACCACATTGTGTTAGTCTTCACACAAGTGGCAGTGCCAACACTTTGTCACAGTAAAGGCCTCTGGTGCTTAAAATGATTTATTTTGGAAGAACATGCAAGAAGTGATTATTAACACATCCAAATTAGCAACACACAACAGCAAAACACAAATAATAAAGTATTTATGGTGGATAATTCAAGCTGCAGCCACATCAACAACCAAAGTTTAGACTGACAGTTCAAGCTTTATCTGGTTTCTTTTTTAAAAATGAAGAAGAAATTCAAACAGAAAATTTGACCGTAATCAAATTAAGATTAAATATTGTTAAGTTTATCTTGTTCAGTTTGATTTCCACTTGCTTTTGTGATGAGTTGATTTTTTTTTTTCTTCTAACTCTGACCTCTGCCTCCACAGAGCCGAAGCCGTTCATTGATGTGTCCATCATCACCAGGTTCAACCAGCACAGCAACATCATGCAGTTCAAGTGAGTTCAACAGTTCAGATGGTAAAACAGTTTAACATGATGCAGACCAGTTTGGAGTCAGAGAGAGAAATGTATGATGATGTTTGTAAAGTTTTTGGTGGAAGCCTAGTAATAGAGGTAGTCCGTACGTCCTACTCATCAGCCTCCTTTGAGACATTCCTGAGTCTGATGGGGAATATAATCCCTCTGCTGT